CTATGTAGAACGCACCTAGTCCAAAGTCGTCTGCCATAGTAGTTGTCATGATTCCCAGCATCTGACCGTGCACTTGATACATTCTCAAACGTTTCGCCGGAATCGTACTCGGCATCATCTGTGAGCTTTGCCATTCTCCGCACCAAAATAAGAACTCGTCAAAGAGACAAGTGAAGTCAATCCCTCGACAACTGTTCTGCTGGAAACTGTTACACTGTTAAATGCTGGGAATCATGACAACTAGTATGGCGGACGACTTCGGACTAGGTGCGCTCTACATAGTCTCCCTGAAGACAAGACCAAGTTGCGACAACGAGGTCAACCCACTTTTATAAATCGAAAGAAGACTGCAACCATACTAAAGGCCACAACCTCTTGGTCTTCATATCTTTAATTCACTAAATTTTGTCTTCCAAAAAGCTACTTCCTCCAGGCTGGAACTTAATTTTCGTGCTCGCTGATGAGATTCTGACGAAATTAAACGTGCAATCCAGCCTGCATGAGAATCTTTGAAGAAGCAAGCCGAAGTGAGTTTCAACAGAAACAAGAGGCCTACCAATATGATTGTGGGTAAAACCAACTATCGGTCCCACATCCCATTTGCAACCCAGGGTGACTTGAGCTCTTATTCACGTTCATGCATAGACCTACTTATGGAAATATACTCTTCTCCTTCGAAACGATTGTGGATGCATACTGAATAATTAAGGTAGTTTTTGAAACCCAGCTTTTATTCAAATAAATCCACTCCGTGTCTGATCTCGAAGTTATTTGAGAATGATCGCCAGTAGTAGGACCGTTGATACCGTTGATAATGATGATGGCTTAGTTTGGCTCTCCAACTCACCACATGAATAAGCTTTGACCACTCCTTCCCATCCAACATGTATATACAATGTCTATTTCGCCTCTCCAGACCACCCAATTTTTTGTCTAATCGCAACCAGTTATCTCATTTGCTATTTTCCAACAGCTTATTATCATTGTCCCCATTCCGTTACACCTACTGTATGCGTTTGTGTTCTTAATCCTACATTCATTCGGATAAGTTTTTGCTTGCGCCCTTGCATACCATTTATCCAAACCATAATCCCAAAAAGGATGCGCACTAACATTTGCTTACTGCATTATGCCTGACGTCGGCACAGCAGGTGCATGAGTGCGTAAGCGCGCACATGCGCCTTCGCGTCTGGGAACTTTGAGAAGATGGGCCATAAAAGTGGCGCCAAAGTGATACAGTTGATAGGAGCCGTCCAGCCATGTCGGTCTCCGAAACTGCCGCGTCGCCCTTTTTCCCTCCTCGCCAAGCCTTACTTGCCCAAGCCCTTTGCACCCTGTCTACCCCTAAAGCCCATCATCTTCTTCCTCCTCTTCTTCTTCCTCCTCCTGCTCCGCTTCGGTTTCCTATTCGCCCTGTCTCACTCTCTCCCAAATCCGCATGGGCTTTCCGACCTGTCGGTCGACAGGTATGCCGGTCAGCTTCCCGATTCATCTAATTAGTACAAGCAGTTGGGCCAGGACCCTGAAGGAGCGAGGATGAAAATAAAATCGACCCACATAGGTCGTTTTGGCGTAAGCTACCACCAACTAGTGTGGTGTGGAAAGTACTGTCCCAACTGGCCAGAACACAGGACCCTGACCAATGGACAAACCAAAAACCCACTCATCAACACATACACACATGCACATGTGAATGGAAGCAGCTATGCATTCATACAAAATACTCTTGCCCTCTTGCACATACACTCAATGAGGCCAAATCAGGGCTAGTATGCACAGACTTTCGTACTCTCTTGAATTCCTTCGCAAGCGGCTATATGATTTGAGGTAAGAATGTGGGAACGATATGATAGGCATAGGAATCCTTCATTGTATGTGTGTGGGCATTTGGGTGAGCTGAGCTCTAAATATTTCTTCTTTGACCATCAGATTCCCTTTGTAAATAGATAGACTTTTGACTCATGTGTGGATAATTGATACGTCCTCACATTACACAAGTTGCTTGCACGTATTTGACATTGTATAATCTCATAAGTAGGTTTTTCAAGACCAGCCATATTCACCCTATTTCGTTTAAGGTGATCAAGGACTTGCTGTTAAATGGTATTTCACTGGACTGAACTGCAGTTTCAACCTCGCCTGAACTGGTCTCATCAGTATCCACAGTGGGAGCTTTCAACTACCAGTCCTTGATCAACCCAAACGTTGTAGGGTGAATATAACTCTCAGTCGACATTTTGTTCTTTAAGGAATAGCTCATGTTTTACCTCTAGGATGACTTGCTATAACAAGGAAGAAACTGGTTGTTCTGACGACATCATCAATGAGAACCCCCATTATTGTAACCAATCTACAACTAGTACATGAAAAGAAAAGGTGAATATCGAGGAGTATCTTGTTGCATAGTGGTTGAGCTTACTTTTATTTCGAGTGAGTGTCTGGGAACGAGATTCGCAGGTTGATCCGATCAGGAGACGACAGCCAATTCATGTTGATCACCTGTCGACTGGCTTTACTGGAACATTTTTGTCGACGTTGTTTCAGAGGTGACCTCCTTCGGTCCTTGTGAA